GCCATCGATGGATTGGTAAAATCATTAAGGTCCCTATCTGAGGTGGTGTTGCAGAACAGAAGGGGTTTAGACTTGCTATTATTACAACAAGGGGGATTGTGTGTAGCCCTGAAGGAGGAATGCTGTGCATACGCTGATCATACTGGAGTTGTTACAGACACCATGGCAGAATTAAGGAGAAGATTAGAGCAGAGAAAGAGGGAAAGAGAGGCACAGCAAAGTTGGTATGAATTATGGTTCACTCAATCTCCTTGGTTAACTACCTTGTTATCCACCCTTGCAGGACCTCTGATACTGATAATATTGGGACTGACCTTTGGGCCATGCATCTTCAATAAGGCAATAAAAATAGTGAAGGGACGCTTAGAGGCAGCACATTTAATGTTCATTAGGGCAAAATATGAACCCATACACGATGTAGATGAGACCCTAATACTAAGTCACCAAGAGTTACAAAGATTCAGTGAACAAAATAAAGATGAACAAGAAAAAGGGGGGAATTGAGATAAGTGGAAGATCATTTGTTCACTGTGATATGCTTGATTACCTTGGTTTGCATAAGAATGTACTGGTGTGTCTTTGAAATGCTTATTTGCTTACAAGGTGATAAGGAGGTTGAGATTAGAGTCCTGGGTGTGTGTATCTGGTCTGCTTGCTGTATCTCAAAAGAAGAGACTTAGAAGCTATCACAACGACCAGACTCAGACTACATCTGGAGAGTCACGCCTGCAAGGAGAAGGGGGGGGATAAAAGGAAGGTTAGGACAGAACATTTTTGCGCGCCGTTGGTGGAGCAGGAGACTCCCCGGCCGCCCAGCGCTGTGCTTTGCCTGCCTTACTCGCTTGCTATTTTCAATAAAATTGCTTTATTGGATTAAGACACTTCAAATTGCCGTGTCACAATTTATAACACCACACACCTCCATCCTGGCACAGGCGGTTTTTATAGGGAAAATTCCGCCTGAGGCCAAGGTTTTAGCAATCAGTCCTTTCTTCTATTTGGAGTCCATATGTTAATAAGATTTCTTTTTGGTGATGAGTAGAAAAATTCAATGTTGGGTGTTTACGGGAAGGCTTCATTCACATGGATCTGTCTGAGTATTTCCATGATATCCATCTTGTGGACGATCAGCACAGACGATCAGCAGACAATGGCCCATCTCCCGGCCGAGCCACATCTATTTACTTGTAAATCAGTTTCCAGTATACACTCAAGTCTTACCTACAAAAAGGGGGAGGAGGGGGGGAGGAACTAATACAACAGGCATGATTTAACAAGCATCCAATATTACATATTTCATACAAGGAATGGCGCGAATTATATTTACTATACATAACAGGGACAATGAGGAGCTGGATTATGCCAGGCTATAGGAATATGCCAGCATGCGGCTGTTCTGTATTAAGACAACTGGCTGCAAGGTAAGTATGGGGAAGCTGTCACCCCCATACCAAGTTCCTCCATCACAAGCACAGGTCTCGGCAGTCCCCCGTCCCCCCCCCCCCCCCCCCCCCCCCCCCCGCCCAGATCAGTCTGCATCGCCCCTAATGCACAAATATCAGCTGCAGACACACTGAGACCTTCTCAACCTTCCCCCCTCATCTCACACAACACGGGGAGACACACACACACACACACACACACACATACACACTTCTCACTGGGGAAAAACACATCTCCTCCCGCCAGTAGAACTCAGTGTAAGATGAGGAGAAAAAACACAGAGGGTAGCTGTTATAAATGAGAATTGATTTAGCCAGATTAAAAATAAAAATAATTTTATTTGCAGTCAAATTCTATCTAGCCAGCCACACAGAAAGGACAGAGCCGAGCCTGGGAATCGACCCTGGGTGTGCAACAAGGAGTCAGCCTCAGCAGAGGTTTTCTTCTATGCCCACACACCTCCATCCTGGCACAGGCGGTTTTTATAGGGAAAATTCCGCCTGCGGCCAGGATTTTAGCAATCAGTCCTTTCTTCTATTCAGAGTCCATATGTTAATAAGATTTTCTTTTTTGGTGATGAGGAGAAAAAATTCAATGTTGAGCGTTTACGGGAAGGCTTCATTCACATGGATCTGTCTGAGTATTTCCATGATATCCATCTTGGACGATCAGCACAGACAATGGCCCATCTCCCGGCCGAGCCACATCCTTTTACTTGTAAATCAGTTTCTAATATACACTCAGTCTCGCCTGAAAAAAGGGCGGGGGGGGGCGGGGGGGAACTAATACAACGGGCATGATTTAACAAGCATCCGATATTACATATTTCATACAAGGAATGGTGCGAATTATATTTACTATACATAACAGTAGCGATAAAGAAAAGAACAAACCTAATCTATACCCTTTAAGGGAGTCCCAGCCGCTCCCAGAGTCATCAGGTTTGTAAACATTACCATACAGGGAATGTAAAACCGCAAACTCAAAAGCCCCCAGGGAAGCTGGGACAAAGGACAAAACAGGTAAGTGCTCCTAAATGCTCTTACTATAAATCTTTTTAGTTTATTCAAGAACCACAGTCCAATGGATGTATCAAAAGTAAGAATTTTATGACTGTTATTGGGGCTATATAGAAACAGAATCTAATAATAAAATCTGTGCTAAGAATGTTTTATTAGTAAAATAAACAGAATACAATTTATTAGGGAAGGATTTGATAGTAATATTAGAAATAAGTATAATTGCAAAGGACTCACAACTCATGGTAAGTTTATATAACCTAACTACTGAGAATGAAAAGAAAATTAATCCCAGGGTCTGGCACACTCGGAGAAGCTAGAAAATTAGACATAAAACCAATTCACATTAAAATTAAAAGACCAGAAGACCCCATAAGGGTAAAGCAGTATCCCATCCCTCTAGAGGGAAAGAAGGGATTGAAACCAATAATCAAAGAATTAATAAAAGGGGCACCTTAGAATCCTGCATGTCCAGACATAACACACCTATACTGGCAATACAAAATCTGATAGCAGCTACCCACAGTCTCTAATCCTTATAATCTATTATAGTGTAATTGACCTAAAGGATGCCTTTTGGACTTGTCCTCTAGCTGAGGAAAGTCGGGACTACTTTGCCTTCCAGTGGGAAGACCTAGAGACACAAAATAAACAACAATTAAGATAAACCTCTCTCCCTCAAGGGTTTGTAGACTCACCAAATCTTTTCAGTCAGGCCCTTGAAAGGGTGCTCAGTGAATTTGTGCCAGTACCTGGGACCAAACTATTACTATATGTAGATGACTTATTGGTAGCTAGCTCTAAGGAGGAAGAAGTCAGGGCTGGAACCATAGCTTTCTTAAACTTCCTGGGAGGACAAGGGTTGAAAGTTTCAAAGTCTAAATTACAATTCACTGAACCTGAAGTAAAATATTTGGGGCACTGGCTGACAAAAGAGAAAAAGAAACTAGATCCAGACCGGGTGGCAGGAATAATTGCATTGCCCTCCCCTAAGACAAAAAGAGAAATCAGGCAATTGCTGGGACTTTTGGGCTTTTGCAGACAATGGATCGAAGGATACAGTGAAAAGGTAAGGTTTTTATATGACAAACTTACCACAGACAGACTTAAGTGGACTAATAAAAAAGACAAAGAGAGTTACCAAAGATTAAAAGAAACCCTCATAGCAGCTCCAATACTCTCTAACATAAAAAGGCCCTTTCAGCTCTTTGTGGATGTTAGTAACCACACTACCCACGGGGTTCTGACCCAGGACTGGGCAGAGGCCAAGAAACCAGTCGGATATCTATCCAAGCTTCTGGACCCTGTCAGCAGGGGCTGGCCCACCTGCTTACAAGCAATTGTGGCGGTAGCAATATTAGTGGAAGAAGACAAAAAGGTAACATTCGGGGCTTCATTAACCATCTACTCCCCCCATAATGTAAGAAGCATCTTGCAGCAAAAAGCTGACAAGTGGCTGACAGACGCCAGGCTTCTGAAATATGAAGCCATTCTAATCCAATCCCAGGACCTGGAGCTAAAGACTACCCCAGCAACAAATCCTGCCCAATTCCTTTTTGGGGCAGTCCCAGGGGACCCCCTCCATAACTGTGCTGAGATAGTAGAATTACAGACCAAAATACGACCAGATTTGGAAGAAGAAGAACTCAAAGAAGGGGAAAAATGGTTTGTGGATGGTTCTGCAAAAATTGTGGAATGTAAAATGCGGTGGTGTGTCTTTAATTTGATTTTTGTTCAATATCTGTTTCCCCCCCCCCATCCCTAATCACCTCCTCTCCCCAGTGTCAGTCTTCCCTAGCTCTCCCCTAACCCCCTCATCTCCAAGTTCCCAATCCTCCCTTTCCCTGCCCCTTTCCCTGGAAACCTTCCCTGTCATTCATCCTAGCCCCCTCCTCAGCTTCCAGACCATTCCCTGTCTATTTAGTGAGGCTCAACACTCTATTGATCCATTTGTACTATTCCACTCCCCTGTTTCCCCTGATAGGTTTGTGATATGTTAGTTCTGCCCTAAACTCCTCCCCTGCTATTCCCTTATTGGTTACTGTTCCTACACCCGTCCTCCTGAGTTCTTGTATAAAACCTTTGCCCCCCCTCTCAAGGGGGTCTTGGGGCTCGCTGAATAAAACCATCCTGTTCACCCCCAAGTCCCGTGTCGCCTTTGTCTGTCCCCGCGCGCCACGAACTGAGACTGCAGAGCTTGCAGGGGGAAGCGGCCGCCCGTTCTCTTCCCTCACCGCCCAGCCCAGCACGGCTCGGAGTGCCGCGGCGAGAGGAGCGCATGCCGCGCCACAACAGTAAAAGAAAGTCAGGATATGCAGTCATAGACAGGAAGACGGGAAGGGTGGTAGAATCCGGGCCCCTGAGTGCAGGGTGGTCGGCTCCGGCCTGTGGGCTGTATGTAGTATACAGGGCTCTGCTGGGACTTGAAGGGAAAAAG